ATATATATATATATATTAAAAAAAAAGACAAGAAAAAAGAAAGAAAAATTAAAAAAAAAAGAAAAAAAGAAAGGAACCAGAAGTGCCTTTCAGGCCACCTTTATGAAGAAGCCAAAAGCTGCGTAATTGCAGTTCATGTAATTTGTGATTGCTTCCGATGGTTTGGAGTGTAAACACATGCAGGTTGAGACTCTCCCTCCTGCAGCAGTTATCTTAGATGTGATCAGCATTTTTTATGTTGATCTGTACTGTCACCCCTATGTAGCTGTGCCTGTTTTGTCTGCAGGCTTGAGGACTAACTAGCTCAAGAAGAGGTGAGTGAGTTTTCTGGTAGCAATGTGAGTTAGGACTGATGCTGAGAGGTGATCTGGCCCCGAGCCCTTCTGACCTTTCCTGCACTTGAATCGGAGATTTGGGCGACTGATAGCATAGCAGGAGAACAAGCCTAAAACCAGCACAGGCTGAGCCATGGGGCAGCAGGGCATGGGGCATGGCTAACATACCTTCAGCTGGACAAACAGCTGCTGAAGCAGCACATCAAAGCCACTGTTTTCAATGTCGCTGAGCGTGCTGAGGATACTGGCTTTATTGTCATCCTTTTCTGACATGTTCTTCTCTGTGTAGTCTCTGCAATGAAATATCAGCAAGGTCAGAATAATCTGTCCTTAAAAGAGAGGGAGAGAAATTCAGAGGTATCCAAACCTTCCTCTGCAGGCAGACGGATGTTCGTCTGCGCACCCTGGAGAACCTCCCCTCTATCACACTATTATCCGTTGCATAGGAGGAAAAGGAAGAAGGAACAAAGCCTTTTCTTTTGGATCCTTACCTAAAATTCCAGCAGTTGTTAACACTTGCTATCACTATAGGCTTGTAGTATCTGTGCTTCTTGCTTTTCTCCTTAAAGTCTTCAAAAGCATCCTTGTAGCTGGAGGGGATATGGGAAGAAGAGAGGTGAATGAGTCCATGACCTGGGCGGCTCTGCCAGCCCTGCTGCCCAACACTGCCTTACCGTACCTTTTCAGGAAGGCAGGGAGCTCCTTCCACAGGCGATGTGACAGCTCCTCTCCCACTGCCGTGCTGATGTCCTTGGCTCGCTGCTGGCCACTGTAGATACTCTAACAAAGAAACGAGATCAATTTGAAATGCTGCCTGCTCCAAAAAGGCCAGGTTCACTGCTTAAAAAGGCACAGATCCTTAACTGCACAACTGCACCCAGCTTTCCTGCATCCCTCTGTGACTGAGCCAGGGACCATGCAGAGCAGCTATACTTCTATACTTACTTACTTAGCTCAAGCCAATTTTGAACTCCATTTTCAAATGGGGAGAGAGGTGAAGAAGAAAGAAGCATTAAAGAATGTCTATAAAATAGCTGATAAGTGACACTTGGGTGTTTTTCCTTTTTTCCAAATGTCATATGATTGCATTAAAAAAATAATTAAGCACAACTACCTCAAAATATGAAATGTTTATTTTTCATAAATAAACTCCACTAATCTTCTGCAGTCAGAGAAGAGTGTTTGGTTCTGGGCATGAGCACTGGGGAAAGGGCATGAGCACTCAGAGCAGCTCTGCCAGTGACAGTGTCCCTGGGAGCAAGCAGGGCAACAGCATCACACTGCTTCCTTGCTTGGCTAAACCTGTCTCTTGTTTCTCTGCTGCTACATTACCCAGTGCCTAATGGCTTGGCATCGTCTGGTAGTGCAGAAGAAACTGCACAGGAAGAAATGAAGGCAGATTTCCTGCTCATTTTGCTTATAGAGAAGTTTGTCTCTGGCACGTGGTGGACCAGGACCATGCCAGACCACAGGCTTGGGCTGCCCTATACCACCCACCTCTACTACTGCCCTATGCACAAGACTTGGCCTTTTGCTTTCTTGCATTGACCATGGCTGTTCTCAAATCCTAAATATGTGCAGGATGAAATTGTTTATTTCTAATATATATCTTTATTACCTGGATAACAAATATTCCTAGTAGTTCACTCTGAAAATGGCCACTGAATTTCTCCGGTTCTTCTTCTTCTTTCCATCTCTGGATTTCTTTATCTAAACATCTGCTCAGCAAAGTTTTTATAGTAGCCTTTAGGGAAGGAAGAACAACAGTATTTACCACAAAGTGGATGTAGCAGCTCCTGCCTTATGCAGGTTTTACCTGCCCACCCACCATTTGTCTGGCTGAGCAGACTTTTTCCTCCATCCTGGCTGAGAACTAAAGGCTCCTTGTTGTGAGATGCCTTACCTACCACTTCAAGATAGCAAGGACAACCCCCTCACAGTAACCACCTATGCAACAGTGATTTGAGTATTTCAAGGTAGAAATGCAGGTCAAGATGTACATCCCTGCCCACGACGTCAGTGGTGATCTGGAGGGCAGGGGAAGGGAGCAGTGGGTAGGAAGGTTGCAGGCAGCTATGCGTGCCAGAGCCCAAATTCCCCCAGCCACGCATTGCCTGCGTGTCACACTCAGTGCTACTCTGCAGACTTGGTTTTGCAATGCTTTTTCATGAGCAATTCTGACGTCTTATGAGTGCTGGAGAGTGGAACAAAATGTTATCAGATTTTCTCTGCTCTGACACTGTGCAACATGGCTTTGAAAATGTCTGTATGGTGGCTGGCATGTATTTCTGATCTCCAAGTTTGTTCATGTGCTTTGCAGTCCTCACACCCACCTCTCCCATATGCATCACTGGCTACTGCTAAACCTGGAACTTGTCTTTTCATTTTCTGGGAATTCCAGCCCAAAATAACAAAAGCACTAAGCTATGGGAGTACTGTGAAAGTTGCTTCTTGTTTCCATTAATGCAAGAGGGATCCAAAAAACCAAAGCAACTCTTTATTTTATGCAGACCAGACGACCCTTCATCAAAGAAACAGATTTTTTAAAACCAGACCTGCATGCTTTGCGCTCAGCCAAGGTCTGGCACTGCTGCAGAGACCAGAAGTAATTCTGAATCCATCAGCTGCAAGAGGAAGTATAAATCCCTCTGAGGATTTAACAGACAACTGGAAAGTTACCCACAACGATTTGCTGTATTTCCCCCAAACTTTCTACCACAAAGTTTTCAAGAACAGAGCAGTTCTTCTCTGATGGTTCCCAGGGCTAGGCAGAAGTTTGCTCTGCACGTCCCATCTAGCAGAAAGTTGACCTGATCCCCAAAAAGAAACAAAAGCATTCTTGCTTTTCTTCTCTCTGGAAGGGTGTGTGCAGGACAAGTCAGAGCTCATCCAAGGAGTCTCATGGGAGCAGTTAAGGGAAGAGGAGGGACTGAACAGATTCTCACCTCTTCTCTGTCAAGGTATTTCTTTTCAAGCTCTTTGTTCAGACTTGATGGTAAGAGGCTTCCAAGCTGAACTTTTTCCAGCTCCTCGGCTAAAACATGATCTTTTCTCATATCTCTGGAATGAAAAAGCCAAACAATCACATTTTCCAAGGGCACTGTAATTCAAGACAGCTGTTGATGCAAATCGCTAACACTTTTCGAGGCTATCAGTGAAAAACCAGATGGGAACATACATTGTCCTTAGTCCAGGCAGAACTTGGAGGAGCTGAATCTGTGCTGGGGTGGGACCTGTGAGGGTGGGACCCTGAGCAACCCTGGGGAACAGTCATGCTGCGTGCTGGGGGGGATGGGGGACCTGAAGCAAGCTGGCTGTGGAGAGAGGTGGTCTCTCAGCAGATACCTAGACATGGCCTCTGGGAACACCCTGCAGAGCAGCTGCTGCCCAGGCCAACGCCATCCCCAGCACCAGGCTGTGCTGCTTGGGCTCAGCCCTGCTCCTCACAGCTACTGATTTCCAAATACATACTGGTACAGGCCTGAATATCTTGGCCCAGAGCACACTACTGGCTCTAGAAAACTTCCAGGATCAACAGTGACTCATTATATTCC